CTAACTATAAGGCACAGTGCTTAAAATAAATATTATTATTTTGTGGATGGTTCAGGTTCATCACAATAAATAATAGCTTAAGCTCACAAATATTGAGCACTTATTGTATGTCAGATACTATACCAAGCAACTATATGGACCATCTTATTTAATCTTCATAGCAATCCTATGAGGAGCTTACTATTATAAAACCCATTTTACCAAAGAGAAAATTGAGGCTCAGAGAAGCTTAACAATTTAACAGAAATTAATTGGCTCAGCCACATTTCAAACCATGCAGATTTCCAGAACCTGCTCTACGACATATACCTCCTGCCATAATCAGTGGCATCAATTACGTGCAGGATGGTGGTGTTCATTTGTACCATTTTTCTTTATAATAACCATCATCAGAATACTTTTTCTTTGCATTAAACAAAATGCCAGAAATCTCTCTCTCTTTTCTTCCCTTTCTCTTTCTCCTACTTTGTCTCTGTCTCTTTCCGCTTTCTCCCTCTCTCTCCTCTCTCTCTGTCTCTTATACACACACATACAAACACAATTATGTCTGCAGGTCCCTCCGTTTTAGCAGAACGCATAAAGACAATTTGCACACTCCTGTGTGGCAAATTCTGAACCACCACCCCTCTTGGCTGTCTATAATATGGACTACAACTCTCATTAGGTACCTTTTTTACACTGGATCTCAGTGAAATGACCAAGAAGCAATTATTTCTTTCCTTTTATTATCTTCAAGAATTGTGTTTCTCTGTCTTCCCCTACAGGACAGTTGGCATTAAGATATGGTGTGTTTGTCTCTTATCCAGTACCTGGCATGTAGTTAGTAAGTTGTAAATGATGAATGGATGGATGGATGGATGGGCAGATGGCAAGAAGGATGGAGGAAAGGTGAGAAGGAGGGAGGGAGGAGGGAGGGAGAAAAGACCGTGTATGAGCACATTTTCTTGCGCATATATTCCTGGAGAAGACGTCATAGGTGAAATGGGAATAACATCTCCATTCACTCAGTAGCTCTGGTCAAAACCCCTAGAGACAACCCTGGCTCTTCTCTTTCTTTATACATCACACCAGCAGAAGCTTTGGGCTCACTCTTCAAAGCCATTGCAGTCCTACTCCGCTCTACTTCCACTGTGGTCACCATTGGCCAATCCACCATCGTCTCTTGCCTAGTTTTTCAACTGCCTCCAAACTGTCCTCTCTGCTTCTATTCTTTCTCTTTTGCAGTCTGCATTCATAAAGGTAGCCAGGGGACGCCTGGGTGGCTCAGCCAGTTGAGCGGCTTACTCTTGATTTCAGCCCTGGTCATGGTCTCAGGGTCGTGGGTTCGAGCCCTCAGTCGGGCTCTGCACTCAGTGCAGAGTCTGCTTGAGATCCTCTCTTGCCCTCCCCCCCATGCTCTATCTCTCTGTCCTTCTAAAATAAATAAAGGAATCTTAAAAAGCAAACAAACAAAAAACAAAAAAAACTCTGATGTCTCTCATGTCAGTCCAAGTAAAAGGGAAAGGGCTTCCTCCACGTGCTCTGTGCCTACCTCCACCTCTCTGGCCTCACCTGCTGCCACCTTACCGCCCTTGCTCCCCCCAACTCCAGCCACACTGTCTCCTCACTCCCCTCCTCACTGTCACTCTGTCCCACTGTGGGAAGCTGAAGAATGGCTCCCAAGCATGTCCATATCCTAATTGCAAGAACCCATGCGTGTTGCTTTCGGTGGCAATAGGGACTTAGCAGATGTGATTGAATTAAGGATCTTCAAATGGAGATTATCCTATATTATCCTGGGGGACCCGAACTAATCACAAGTCTTTTTATAAGAGGGACGTAAGAGGAGTCAGATTAGAAGAAGGAGAGAAGCAGGGAGTGCCATGGAGTTAGGACGTCGGCCAGGAACCAGGAATGAAGACAGCTTCTAGAAATTGGAAGAGGGAAAGAAAACAGATTGCCCCCTGAGCCTCCAGAAAGAACACAGCCCTGCGCACACCTTGATTTTAGCTCCATAAGACTTAGTTCAGATTCTGATGCCCAGCAGTACAAGAGCATGAATTTGTTGTGTTGTTTCAAGCCACTGAGTTGTGTGGTCATCTGTTACATAGGACAGTAGGACACGTCCACACCCGTTACTCTGTTTCATGTTTCTTTAAAGCCCATCACCACCAGGCATATGTTGTATCTGCTTATTGTCCACCAGTTTTTCCCACTACAGTGCAAAATGCGGGGGACCCAGGACTTTGTTATAAACCCAGGGCCTGACATAATAACAATACATTGAATGAATAAATAACTGCTATATTTTAATTATGACATTGCCCGACACCCTGAAATGGCCGAGCCTCAGTAAAATGCCGGTTGAACACACAGTGACAAACCCGCATGACATTTTTCCTGGCTTGTCTAGAACAGCTGAAAATGCATGCAAGTGAGTACGTTATGACGCAGCCCAAGTGGTCCGCACTGCAATGGCTCATGGGAAGAATGACCCCAGGAGACTTCCAGCATTCTGCTGTTCCCACACCCCAGAGCTGGGGGGAGGGAGGAGCCTGAGCAGGTGACACTTAGGCCCTCCACTCCCAAGTAAGGAGAGAAGCCCCCTGAAGACTCTGCCTTTGCGTTTATTTTCCATTCAACACTGAATAAAGAGCGGTGGTGGGGTTGGTGCCGGATGAGGAAGCAGGGATGGGGAGCGTCGCTCTTCTTACTGAGCACTGCTAAAGATCTTTAAAAAAAACAGTGCCCACATAGGAGCTGAGGCGTCTTACTTAACAATTACATTAAAAAGAATGTAAACCGGGGCACCTGGGTGGCTCACTGGGTTAAGGCCAGGGTCCTGGGATGGAGCCCAGCATTGATCCAACCCACTGCTTGGCGGGGAGCCTGCTTCCCCTTCTCTCTCTGCCTGCCTCTCTGCCTCCTTGTGATCTCTGTCTGTCAAATAAATAAATAAAATCTTAAAAAAAAAAAAAAAGAATGTAAACCTAAAGAGTTCGTTAAAGCCAATATTTGCTTTTGGGAACTACAGATCTTAATTAACATAGGACCACACATTTCCTTCAAACAGTTTTTCCTATTGCCGATACCAGCGGGAGATGCCAATACTTCTGTTTTCTCCTACTTCCGTTGTTTCGGCACCCTTGGCAGGCTAACTTCTGGGGAAATCAACACTCCGCCAAATTTACAAATGTCTTAATGGGTGTCGCCAGTGACCACGATCCACCTTGTCGGCTACATAAAGCTGCATGGATGATTCTGTCCCGAGAAAAATACACCACTATTCCTCACTAAGTGCAGGGTTTTGTGGGATGTTTTTGTTGTTGTTGTTGTTGTTGTTTTTAACTAACATAACAGTGATGTGGATTTGGAAGCTGGGAGGCTGCTTGTATGCACCTGTTTGAACATCAGTCACCTCCTCAGCGGAGCCTCTCCTGATTCCTTCCCGCACACTTGATTGCTCCTTCCCGGGAATACCCACTGCGCTCAGCTGAGCCTCTCATTCACCGAAATTAACCACGTGCAAATCTGTCTCCTGTACCACACTGCTGATTTCTTTTTTTTTTTTTTAAGATTTTATTTATTTGACAGAGAGAGAGATCACAAGTAGAGAGAGAGAGAGAGGAGGAAGCAGGCTCCCTGCCTAGCAGAGAGCCCGATGTGGGACTCGATCCCAGAACCCTGAGATCAGGACCTGAGCCGAAGGCAGAGGCTTAACCCACTGAGCCACCCAGGCAGCCCCACACTGCTGATTTCTTGACAGTAAGTTCCCTCCTCATCTCTCACACCCCTCCCACCCCCCCAATAACATAATACCAGGCAAGTTTTGAGGGGTCCCTAAGTATGAGCCAGACACTCCCGCTAGTTGCTCTTTAAAAACCTTGTGGTAGAACAAAGGAGATGCAATTTACACACAAAACAACTAGGGAAAAATACAAAGTCAAAAAATAATAATATCCTCAATGAGCAAATAAAATCTATTTTACTGGAGTTATTAGAAACCACAAAGGGGACAAATAAGTGTGAACTGAGGGTTTTGTGGGTTAAAACAAAGTATTTATTAATACGTGGTCTTCATACTAAGAAAAGTGTAAATATGAATATTGTCAGGGAGTGGATGTTGGAGAAGAACGTTCTTCCCTTGTGATTCATAAAGATGAATCATCTTTGATTTATAAATCATGATTTATGAATCATAAAAATGATTCATAAAGATAGCCCTGGAATGCTTTTTTAATGTTTTGATAACATTGTAATAAATGTTCTTTACCACAATATGAGTCTAAAACAAAGATTACCAAGGTTCTTTCTACATCATAAGCATTAAAGTTCTGAGTATCTAAGTTCTGAGAATCTATCTATCTAAGCATTAAACATTAACACTGGCTATTAGCATCTTAATACTCTTACCACTGAAATCATTTCATGATTCATCAGGTATTTTCGTTATATTGATGCTGAAAGGGTAGGCTCAGTGACAGAGGTAACGTTTATTGACCATATATCTGAAGTATCTGTGACCTTAGAAATACTAAGAAGGAAACCCCGGTGCCTGGCTGACTGTGGATTCGATTTCCTCTCGCAAGACTTAGTTTCATTTTTGCAAACTGAGTTGACAAAAGAAATCTAACCAGTCGGGAAAAAATACTCAATGTCTGTCACATAGGTAAGGATTTGAGCTCCATTTTATGCTCACTTGGAAGTGAACTCTAAAAAACATGCTTTGCCTGTAGTCTATAAAGTCAATGACTGAGACACACAATTTAAATGCACTCTCCAATTCTTATACTTTGGCGTTGGTGGTATAGTGGTGAGCATAGCTGCCTTCCAATTCTTATACTTTGGAGCATTCCTGAGGGAACTCTGGAATTGACTCATTTAACCAGCCCCACTCTTGAATATGTCTTGAGATCCAAAGACCAGGACATCCTGCATCTCTTCCTGGACACTTGGAGCAAAAGAAGACCCCAATTAGTCCATCCACCCATGCAAGGGTACCTATCAGAGACAGCCCTTACCTTCAAAAACAGGCTGATCTCAGGGTGTGTGGAAGCTGGGTTGTTTGCTTCCAAGCCATCAGCAGCAGAATTGCTGGTGAATAAGGTCCTGCTCTGCTGGATGGTGAAGTTTTGGGGGGAAAGCTGGGGTCCCGTCTTCCTGTCTCCATCCTTCTGGGGTGTCTCCGGGCCAGGCTCCTGGTCTTGGGTGGGTGAGTGTAACTCTTCCATTGAGATGCCCTGGTCTTCCTGCTGCTCCTTTGGGTGAAGATCCTGGGCAAGATCCTCATCAGGCAGGAGGTATCCAGCTGCTTCTGGCTGGGAAGAGGTCAAGCCCTTCTCCTCACCTCCAGTCACATAAACAGAGTCATATTCATGGGTTTCCAGATCAGTGGCATAGACATTGCTTTCTGGCAGGCCTCCGTGGATGTTATCATAAAGAGGAACTTCATCCTCTTCTGGCTGCTCTGAAAGCTCATACAACCCTTCCTTTTGGACTGTGTCATAGACGGTGTTATTTTCTTCGTCGTTCATGTTCGTGGATCTGGTAGATCTTTCGCAGGAGGACCTGAATGAATCAGGAATGAAGAAAGGGAGAGAGGGTGCTGTACCACCTTGCACAGGAATCAACAGGCTTTTGAAACACAGTGACTAGCAACAGCTACCCATGAGACGTCTCTAACAATCATTTACCAGAGACTTTCACCAGCAAACCACAAGTCCATTGGACGCAAGATAAAGCTGCCACCCTCAGTTAACTGCTTCACTCCTAAGGATACTTGCAAGCAGGCTCTGGAGGTTTCCTCACTGCCAGGAACTCTGAGATTCCTCGGTTTAGCAAGGGGGTTTGAGTTATCTTCCCAGTCCACATTGAAATTCTGAATATTTAGCCATTTGTCACTCAAGAGGGCTCCCTTTTCCAGTTGCCTCCAAATATTGACAACATTCAAGAAGTCTCTGCAGCCGAGGGGAGAGCAGTTCTCTACAATGGTAACTCATCCATTAGCAGCTGAATTCATGACACGAAACAATTCTGCAAGCATCCATACCCTAGAATACATGAGTTATACATGGTCCAGTTAGGTAATACATTCCATTTGCATTTCTTATCTGGAAACACCACTAGATGATTAAACGGCAGAAGGAAAAGGAAATAAACGCATTCTCTATAGTCGCATCAGTACAGACCACCCAAAATAAAGAACTCAAAGATTTATGGCTTTGAGTTTTATTTTCCTGCTTAAATCCATGTGATCATTACAGTCAACAGACCTTTGCCAACATTCTGTTAGGGACAGCACCTCACTGAGCACTAATCATATGTGATAGAAGATACATTCTCTGCTGTCAAGAGACTTCTAAACATATTTGGAAGGCTGGGAAGAAAAACTAAACCCTAAAGGGCACAGAATAAACTATTCAAGATTTTCTTAGTGCAATTGGCCCATGTCTGGGATAAGCAGGAAGGAGCTACTGCCTATTTGATGTCACCTACAGATGCCACAAATAGACAGGCTCTTTGGGATTTGTTTTTTTTTTTTTTTTTTTAAGATTTTATTTATTTATTTGACAGCCAGAGATCACAAGTAGACAGAGAGGCAGGGGGAAGCAGGCTCCCTGCTGAGCAGAGAGCCTGATGCGGGGCTCGATCCCAGGACCCTGAGATCATGACCTGAGCTGAAGGCAGAGGCTTAACCCACTGAGCCACCTAGGTGCCCCAGGCTCTTTGTTTTTAATGGGGTACTCTATTCTGCTAGTTCCCGTTTCCCTTCTTCACACCATGCACATGGTTCTTTTAAAGTGACAACCCAGATAGATTATGAAGGCACTTTAATGTCTAGCCACCATGTGAAAATCTAAGAAGCAATGCAACTCTGGACAAAACATTAGATGAACATTTTATTAACAACACTCCCTTGTACCCTTAGCTCCAGCATTGTATCCAGGAATCGCCTGGAGCAAACTAGAGCAGAATTTCTAGAATTCTAGCTTTGGGGAGGGTTCAAAGAATAGATAAGAACAAGGATGCTAGAGACACACTTTCAAGGCTTTTGATATTAACCCTTTATCTTTTATTGAAAAGTGAAGTCTGACGGGTCCAAATCCCTGGTACAAGACCATAGGCTTATACAACTCAGTGGAGCCCCAGCTCAAATCCCCTTCATAATTTTAGTGCCAGAGAAAACCTAGAATACCATTTAGTCTAACATTCATCTTACATTGGGGAAAAAGTGTTAGACCTAGAACAGGGAGGTGAAGGTGCAGATTCACACAGAGAGTTAGTGATAGAGCTGATTTCAGAGATGGTTTTCTAACCTCCGGCTCAGTGATCTCGCTCCCTCCTGAATTCAGTGTTTTCCAACTTATATTCTTGATCACACAAGCCTCCCCTCTCACCCCATCCCCAAAGAATCCTTTCCAGATATTTTCTCCCAAAAATAAAAATATTGCTGATATACTACATATCTGTTTGTGTACTGTATGTATATCTGTGCTTTATATACAGGAAAAGAATAAGCTGTTGGCTCCCTAAGGACCAATGTCTATCCCTTTGGGGGTGGTCTTGTTCCTTTTGAGAATGCATGCTTTTGCTGCTGAAGTATTTCTGGAGTGTAACTCGTAATCTGGGACTGGATTCCACACCATTCTGCATTATTACCAAGGAATAATATCCTATAATGTGGGCGTATGTATGCAGCATGCTACTGGGTCCTCAACACGATGACCCAGCTAGCCATGGAAGCTGGTTAAGCTTAGGTTAATACCACACAGATATTTTATGAATTTGGTCCTCCTATTTCCTACCTCTGGGCATACCTATCACATTTTGGCCACAGGTTGTAATATGAAGCCAGTCATCCTGTTAAAATGTCAGTCAGCTCTGCTCAAACTCCTGTAATGGGTCTCCATTTCTCTCCATAAAGTCAAAATCCTTGCAATGACCCACAAGATCCTGCAAAATCGGCACCACCTTTCTGATACCAGCTTTCCACCCCACCCCCCTCCACCCTCCACCCCCCCCTCGGCTTACTGTGTTTCAGATGATCTGGCTTCATTGCTACGACAGGAACATTCCAGAATGCTCTCTGTGTCAGGATCTTTACATTGGCTGTTTCCTTGGCCAGAAATACATTTCCCCTGGATATCTACACTGTCAATTTCCCAAACTCTTCTAAGTCCTTGCTTATACATCCTCTTGCCAATGAGGCCACTCTGTCCTGTTTCAAATGTCAACCTCTTCCAAACTCTTACCTGCAACCCCCCTCCATTACTAAAAATCTTTACCTGACTTTTAATTTCTTTTTTCCATAATACCTGTCATCTAATAAGATGGGATACCTTACCTTATTTTTGTCTAGAGCTTATTTTCTGTCTTCTCCCACTAGAATGTAAACCCTCTGTGGTCACAGATCTTTGTCTGCTTTTTTTTTTAATATTTTATTTATTTATTTATTTATTTGACAGAGAGAGGGAGAGAGAGCACAAGCAGGCAGAGAGGCAGGCAGAGAGAGAGAGGGAAGCAGGCTCCCCACCGAGCAGAGAGCCTAACACGGGACTCGATCACAGGACCCTGAGACCATGACCCGAGTCGAAAGCAGAGGCTTAACCCACTGAGCCACCCAGGTGCCCTCTCTGTCTGCTTTTTCATCATTACCTCAAGCACCTATATATACTCAATATATATTTGTTGAATAAACAACAAATGGTGATTGTTTGATATCTTTATCTTCCACTGAACACAGAAGCTCCATGAGAACAAAGCCCATGATTATTTAGCTGATCAGCATATATCTAAAATTCAGCAGATATCTGACACATCATTGATGCTTACTGAATATTTGGGTTTTTTAAAGATTTTATTTATTTATTTGACAGAGAGAGAGCACAAGCAGGGGGAGCAGGAGAGGGAGAGAGAGAAACAGGCTCCCTGCTGAGCAGTGAGCCCAGTGTGGGGCTTGATCCCAGGACCCCGGGATTAGGACCTGAGCAGAAGGCAGACGCTTAACCAACAGAGCCACCCAGGCACCCCTACTATGTGTTTTATAAACAACTAAAATGGAGGAGATGGATCTAGAATTCATGTTCTTTTACTCCTGGTCCATCTTTCTTTCTGTATTATGTGTATAAATATTACCTCCTCACTGTATTTAAACTCTTACAGGAAGAGAACTAACACCTGGGTCTTCCACAGCACTTTGTATAAGCAAGTTGGCGTGTTAACTCATAAAAGAGAGTCTATCAATCAATTAATCAGTCAAAAATATTTTGAGGACTTCATATATATCTGTTACTTACAACCTAGGAAAGAGAATATAACACATAACATTCATTTGTTTGAGAAGCTCTAAGAATGAGCTTGCATACTTTCTGAAATACCAGTTTGCTTATGTCACTCCCACGTTTGGAAATCTTTGGTGAGTCCCAAGCATTTACAGAAAGATATCTCTTTCAAGATCTTTCACAACCAGAACCTAGTCCATCTATCCTGCCAGCTTCTCCCCTCAGAATTCCCCCAAATGTTGTTTTTCCTTTTTTCAAGATTTTTATTTATTTACTTGAGAGAGCGCACGCACAAGCAGCAGGCAGAGGGCAGAGGGAGAGGGAGAACCAGACTTCCGGCTGAGCAGGGAGCCTGACACAGGGCTTGATCCCAGGACCCCGGGATCATGAGCTGAGCTGAAGGCAGACACTTAACTGACTGAGCCACACAGGTGTTCCTCCCCCAAATCTTTTATTCTGCAGCCAGATAAGTTGCTCTTCCCTGAACACACCGTGCTATTTCCTGTCCCCATAGTTTTCCTCCTATGTTGCCTCTACTGGGCAAAATTCTACTCAGTCTGCTATGTGCAGGATATAAATATACATAAGACATGATCTTTTTTTTTTTAAGATTTTATTTATTTGACAGAGATCACAAGTAGGCAGAGAGGCAGGCAGAGAGAGAGGAAGGGAAGCAGGCTCCCTGCTGAGCAGAGAGCCCCGCATGGGGCTCGATCCCAGGACCCTGGGATCATGACCCGGGCCAAAGGCAGAGGCTTTAACCCACTGAGCCACCCGGGTGCCCCACATAAGACATGATCTTATGTGCACATGCAACAGAAAAAAATTACACATTAAAATTCAAGAGAAAGGATCCAACTGGGCCAATGGCAGGACTGCTCATCGTCTGGAATAATTTGGGGTCAATGTCTGGTCCTCTGCTTTACTTATGCAAAGACCCAACTAGGTTGGTTTGCAAAGGGTTTTTCAAGCTGTAGAACTGGGTCACTCTAACTAAACTGAAAAAACATCAGATTAGCAACTAAAATGCCAATGTACTATTTTATTACAAAAAAACTGCCAAATTGACTTGAATACCTCTTTAAGAAAATAAGCATAATCAGGTGCCTGGGTGGCTCAGTCGGTTAAGCATCTACCTTCAGCTCAGGTCAACGTCCCAGGATCCTGGGATCCAGCCCCATGTTGGGCTCCCTGCTCCTCAAGGAGCTTCCTTCTCCCTTTCCTACTCCCCTCTGCTTGTGTCCCTCTCCTGC